TATATATATATAGATTATATATATTATATATATAATATATATATAGATTATATATATATATAGTTATATATATATAGTTATATATATATATATATTGTATATATATTGATTTTAAGAACAAGAAGAAAGACAAAATCTGGCCCGTGCTTTGAAATCAGTTGCGCAACCCCTTTTTCAGCCAAGAACCCCATCGCATTTGATTTGATGCATACTGCACGCACCCCATTTCTGAAAATTGCCACCATGAGCGAAAGCCATGCTTTTAATGGTGCCAAAATGTTCGCGCAAGCAATGTCCATGGCCGCAGAAGCGGTGCGTTAGTTCTTGTTGCAGGCCCTTGCGTGGTAAAGAAGCTGCCTCCGATTCCAGCTAATGCTGCCTGTCATGCAGCTGCACAAGGGGACGTATCCGCCCTGACGGCAATGGATTTCAAGGCACTTGCCACAGCGCGTGCAGATTTGATTTTATATCTTCATGAAGCGCGGCTGCATGTGCAGGACCTGGCAGCTTCTGATGAGACTGGCAACACCCCGCACCTTAGCTATCTCGAGCAGGCAAGGTTGCTGGTCCAAAACGCAGCTTCTCGCAAAAACAAAGCCAAGGTTGATTTGGGCAGCTGACTCCGGAAACCTGGGTGCCGTGGAGCTGCTGCTATCTGCTGGTGTTGATGACACCGCCAAAGGCTTCATGGTTGAAGCATTGCAAAAATTCGAAATGGTTTCAAAAGCTCTCATAGTTTGTCCCCAAACCTGGTGTCCACATGTAGTTTTCATGGCACATGGCAGGTGTGAAGGCCGGGTTTGTTGCGGGCCCGCGCTGACATGTATGGGGTCCACGTCCAATATCATCATCATTCCAGCAAAATGCAATACATTGTGGTTCCCTCGGGCGGCGTGGGGTTTAGCATTGTCTTGTGGGATTTTATGGGGCGGGGCAGGCTGAGGCGCATGTCATCCTCTCGCAGACTTTGTTGCATTTTTTCCTACGCATTTGGCAACTCTCGGGCAAATTACCTCGCAGCAGCCTGTGCTCAGGTTTCTTGGGAAATTCTGCCCTCTCTCGCGCGTGCCGCCGTGGAGATGAGTCTATCCTGCGCTTGCTGTTCCGCGGTTTCATCATTGGTTCCCCGAGTTCATGTTGCGTGTTCTGTGCATCAAAGAGCTTGTCGTTGTAGCGAGAATGTTTGATTGTGAGGCTTGCGCGCAGCACCAAAGTGATAGATTTGCCAAACGACAAGCTCCAGACCCCACTGCATTTTGCGGCGTTCTATCAGCATCTTCGTGCGGCTTGGCAGCAAGCCCGCCACTTCAAGCCACAAGATGTTTTGTGATGTTTTGTGTAGTGTGCTATGTGTGCAGGGGAGAAATTTGTGGTGTCAGGTCGTGCAACTATTGTTGGATGTTGGTGCCAGCACTACAGCTGTGGATTGCAAGGGACGTACCCCAGCCGAAGCGTGTGACGCAGAGACAGCGGTGGGCAGTGGGAGGGAAATCCAAGGCATGATCCTCCAAGCAAGGCGGGCAGGGCAAATTTTGCCAACTCAGCGACGTGCGTAGCTCTGAAAGGTTGTAGGCTGTCTTTTCATTCCCCTGTTGGCTGAGTCTCTAGCTGGATCGAAAGGATGTCCCGCGTGGTGCGAAAAGATGGCGAGGGGTTGCGCATTGATGTTTCAAGTTGGAGATTCTGTTTGCTTTGTATTAGTTTCACGCGTGCGCTTGTTGGTTTGTTTGTTTCTTTCTTTCTTTCTTTCTTTATTTCTTTCTTTCTTTGTTTGTTTGTTTGCTTGTTTGTTTGTTTGTTTTTGTTTGTTTATGTTTGTTTTTGTTTGTTTTTGTTTGTTTGTTTTTGTTTGTGTTTGTGTGTGTGTGTGTTTGTTTGTTTGTTTGTTTGTTTGTTCGTTCGTTCGTTCGTTCGTTCGTTTGTTTGTTTGTTTGTTTGTGTGTTTGTTTCTTTGTTTCTTTGTTTCTTTGTTTCTGTGTTTCTGTATTTCTTTGTTTCTTTGTTTCTTTGTTTCTTTGTTTCTTTGTTTCTTTGTTTCTGTGTTTCTGTGTTTCTTTGTTTCTTTGTTTCTTTGTTTCTTTGTTTCTGTGTTTCTTTGTTTCTTTGTTTCTTTGTTTCTCTGTTTCTTTGTTTCTTTGTTTCTTTGTTTGTTTCTTTGTTTGTTTCTTTGTTTATTTCTTTCTTTCTTTGTTTGTTATTTTTGTTTGTTTGTTTGTTTGTTTGCTGAGATGTAAATGCCATGCCCACTGCGTGTCACTGCGTGCTCCACTGTACGGACGGTAAGCCAAGCCACTGTCCTGATTGTACTTTGGCTCAGGTGGCTCAAGACTGCCTCAAGCCCGGAGTCACTCAGATACTAAACTGCCGGCAATTTGTTACACTGAAAGCTGCCATTGCAATTTTGCATGGTTTTGCATGGTAGCGGAGCTTCTCTGAGTCAAGTGGAAGTGGAAGCGGCAATACTGGCCCACTGATTGTGAGAGAAAAGTGGAAGCGGCAATACTGGCCCACTGATTGTGAGAGAAAAGTGGAAGCGGCAATACTGGCCCCCACTGAGAGAAGAGTGGAAGAGGCACGCTGGCCGACACTGAACAGACATAGAACTAGAGTAGGAGATGGCGGCCTTTGCTGAGAGAAACTCCCTAGGAGGAAGTGAAAGACTACCAATGGCTCAGAAGTTCAGTGGCAAGATGGATGGAAGACTGGGAAGACTGGCCGTACTCAGTGACAAACTGCGCGGCGCTGTTTGAAGACTGACACACTGGAAGTGATGGAGAGACCTGAGAGAAGTGAGAGACCGATCACTGATCAAGATGTAGCTGGACTGGTGACTGATCCGGAAGATGTACAGAAACTGCTTGAATTCACGCGGCAGCTTCGCTATCTACTGACCCAATTGACAACTGATAGTGCCAGACTGATTATTCGAGGTCTTGTGTCCCAAAACGGATTTTAAGAGCTGGCCGTTACTTGGTCAAAGATTCTCTCTACCAGGAACTGCACAAGACATTTCACTGTTGACTCGTGTGTTGGAATACAGGTTTAGGACTGAAAAGTTTGAACAAGACTACTCAGAATGCGAAATGTTGAAGAACAGGTATGAAAGGCAGACTCAAACGCAACTGCCCGACTCAATCATGTTTGCGCTGTTGAACAAAACGACTGGACCACTGCAACAGCAGCTGAGGTTGAACGTGAGAATACTGGACGCGTGTGACACTCTGAGAGAGTGATCACGGAATACTGCCAGAGTAGACATGTGACCAATGTGAGCAAAACTGCGAATGGCCCAGCACCAATCGAAATCTGTGCGATGTGGCGAAAAGGAAAAGGAAAGACAGGAAGCGGAAAATGGCCTCCCCTTGGTTGGAAAGGAATAGGAAACATGAAAGGAGGTGGCAAAACTGGCCCCCTCGGAAAAGGAAAAGGTAAGAACTACAAAGGTGGAAGTGGCAAGACTGGCCCCCACAAAGGCAGAGGAAGCGGAAAACTGTCCGCCTTTGGAAAAGAAATGAAAGGTAGACTGACATGGTGGAACTGCGGCCAACATGGACATACGTCTGAGTCTAAGGATTGTACTCAGCCTAGAAACGTAAGATGCAACTGACGAAGCCTATGAATGGAATGACGAAGGGTGTGATGTCGGCTGGACTGGTGCACTATGGGGTGACTGGTCTTGGGATGTGTGGTATGACCAGAGTTGGACGGACTATGGTGACTGGAGCTACTCTAAACCAAGCGCGCAGCACTTAGTTTTGCCTCCGACTCACACTGCACAAACTGTGCAGGCACTTGCCACTGCCTCAGGAACTGTGTCTACGGTCACGGGTTTTCCAAATATTAGCGCCCTTGTTTCATCTAGTACTTCTGGTACTTTGCAAACTGTTTCAGCTGTTTCAACAATTTGTAGCAACGTACTGGTTCCAGAACTGGAAGTTTGGGAGGAGCTTTTATTTTCTACTATAGCTGCGCTGAGTTTAGGAACTTCTGAAGGTACTTCAATTCACTCAGTACCGGTGCATTTTGCACTTGGTAATGTCACTGTCAAAACGGACCTTGTGACAAATTGGCCTGGATGCATGACTACTGTGTTGCATCTGTACCTATTGAGAGAGACTGGGTTCTATTTGATTCAGGAGCAGGGCGCACTGTTGCCCATTTGGCTATGCTTCAGACTATCCACTTCTACCGTTGGGTCCCAATCCACCAAACTTGAGAAGCGCAACTGGGAGGGTCGAAGAGAGGTTCATTAGGTAAATTGCTATGTCTGTGATGTCTCATTTTGTCTCGTCTCTGTCACGCGCATGTTGTTGCAAAACTACTGGACCGTTCTCGGAAAGGACTGCCTCCTTCTCTTGACTCCTCAACATTAGACTGTCCCTGTTCTCAGGTATGGATGGTACTCTTTGTACTTGTCTCCTAGGCACGTGCCTTACTGTCAAGAATGGAAGGATACTGTCTATCATGAGTTTGATGACTATATGAACAACATGCCTGTGGATTTGAACAACGTGCATGTGAGTGAAGATGATGAAACTGATCCACTGAAGAGACTGGAAGTGCTGGTGGGTACTTTGAAACCTCACTACTACCACACGGACCAATGGACTTTGGATGAGGCAAATTTGACTTTGACGCGGGCTCACAAGAGAACTAGGAGGTCGTTGTTCACTCCTGATGCATCTACTTGCCCTGTGCCTTTGGGCGGGCTTCTTGGACGAAGAGTGCCGTTCGTTTCTGAAAAGGACGAGCTGTTTTCTCGTTGAAGGCTGGTTAACAGACCATGAGAACAACAGCAGGGGGACCAGAAACAGAACCAGGAGGCACAACAGGGCCGGCATTTGCATCTGTCGCCGCGCGGCGGTGTCGATCCGGTGTTAAGGACACTCCAGCTTGGCGGAGCTTAGCCTGAGCAGCATGCAGCTGGGTCTGAACTTCCTGAAGTTGACGCATGGCAGCTGTGTCCTGTTTTGCAGGCGCAACTGACGCAATTTGATCAACCAAAAGCTGAACAAGAGGTTGCATAAACTCAGCAGGTTTGTCAACTTTGTTAGGAACTGCGCTAGAAGGATTGTTTTTTCGATGCATGCTTTCAGCTATGGCATCGAGATCAAACGCTGCATCTCTCATGGCTTTCACCAACTGAGACAGGAAAACGGACTCCGGAATTGATCGGGTGGGCACCACACCCATGAACCGCCCTCCGCTAAGAGCCCGGAGGGCAAACTCAGCGGCCCCATGACGAGTCAAAAGGCCAATTGGCACTGTTAAAGGATTTGTGCCGGCCAGGCCGCGCTTGCGAGACCAAGCCGTAGGCCGTACAGTTCTGTGAAATCGGTGGCCATACACAACTGTGTCGTCAAAATGGGTAGGTGTCTGATTCCAATTTGGAGGAATGACAACTTCTGGGTGGGGCACTTCATGAACATTACCGGAAGGTGCCCAAGAATATTCTTGAGAACGACCATGCCACCCTTGAGAACCCCAATTGTCAGAGGGTCGGTCCCAAGACTGATGCTTGCTCCAATGCCCAGACATGGCAAAATTACAGAACAAAATGAATTGCAAGAGCTGCGAAAAGTTTTGGGCCGCATCTGTACGAATGTAGCATCAAGTCTGCGAATCCAAAATATAAACCAAGCCTTATTTCTCAAAACAGGGAACAATGGTTCCATACTCATCCAACGTTTGAAAAAGCGTGAGCATCACACCGAAACAAGCCGGAAGAAAAACTTGGCCAGAGGTGCTAGAAATCTAAGTCAGAAAGAAAAAATTACTTACTTGAAAAAGGAAACCAAGGAGGCAACAGGTCAGGTCCGAAAAAGAAACATGTGAGCAACGACTAGCTGACTGCGTGCTGCAACAGGTGTTTTACCATCAGCCAAAATTCGGTAGCCTGCGGCAAAGCAAAGGAACTGTTCAGCGCGGCACATCTCACTGTTCCAAAAAAACAAACACCAAAACACACAAAAACAACAACACCCACAACCAGAGTCAGAATGCCGCTGCGGGATCGACAGCATCTGTTTTAAAAGCAAGCCCTTGTAAAAAATGGGAATCCGTGTGGACCACCCAGAGGCGGCCGGATTTATGGTGGACAGCGCCCCCATTCTTTGTTCGAGCTATACATGCTAGTTCACCGCCCGATCTTACTGCTTCTGCTGAGCCCTATCCGAGGGCTAGGATAATGATCCGGGCTGTATTTTTTGTGGAATTCCAGGCTTGATGAATTAGCCGAGATAACTCGGACCGATCCCACTGTATATGCCCTGTTCGTTTACTGCCTAAACAGAAAAACGAATTGGAATGGTGATGATGCACCCGTGAGGGTGCAAGTGCACCACTTCGAATGATCCCAGTCAACCCTCCTACGGTTGTAGCATGGGCCAATTGAATGTGCTGTACTTCTTGTATGGAAAGGGCCAGGGCCGCTCGAATCGGATCCGGTATGGACCTTTGCGAAAAACCCCCCCTCAGAATGTAGTACCTTTTCGGCGACACATCTTCGGGGTAATTCTCATGAGTTTGAGGATCATACTCCAACAACCGAAGGTCAGTAAGTTGGTCAGGAGAAATCGCGGATTGGTCCACAATCCGGGCCAAGTATTTAACAAATGATTCCTCCAAAGGGCATTGAACATCTTGGCGGCTGCGTAACCAAGCCCTTAAATCAATTTGATTGCCGGAAACACTTTCTACAACACCAGCACGTGAATTTTGATTTTCCAGAGGCCACACTGAGAATGGCAGGTGGGGTGCAGCAGAATACTGTGGTGGCTGCCAAATTCCACCGTTGTGCCAATTGCCAGGTGGTGGACTCTCAGGTCTGGTGACGGATACTCTACTAGCAGTTGAAACAGTACCACGGGATGGGATTCTAGACTTTCCACGTGCCACAGCAGATGCCAGCAATCCAGGCGCTCTAGAAGGCACAGGTGGTCGAGGAGGCGCCACTTGTCCGGATCCAGTAAAAAGCTGACCCGGTGGTAACGGTGGTCTTCTGGGAGCAGGATTAAGACTGGAAATGTTCACTGCGCCCGGTGTCAGAACTGGTCTACCTGCCGGAGTTGATGGTCTCAAAAAATGTTCTCGAGAAACATTGCCAGCCACAAAGTATATGTTGTAGGTTGGAGGCTGGCTTGACATGGCTTCACGAAAATACAAGCAGTATGAAAGAAAAACTTTCAGAGGAAATAACACACTATCACTTGTACACTGCGTTGAGACTACTATGCCACAGTGTCTAGACAAGTGAAGTGTCAATTGTTCAATCGTGTTCAATGTTTTCATGGATTGCGCCGCGCGAATCTTTGAACAGAAAGCGACAAGAATCAACAGCATCAACCTGGGCAACAACTGTCTCAACTAAGCAGATCCGAAGATCAGAATTCATGAGAGCAAATCAATTCTGATGGGAGAGGGAATTACATTTAGCCTCTCATTTCAAATGCAAGAGTCACACTCAGCTTGTCTGAAAATGTACTTCTGAAAACCCATCCGAATCGGGATATGTCAACATGCACATGAACTCATAGGCACCTAAGGCCCAAATCAATCACCAATGAGGCAAGCTTATTGCCCAAGTCAATCACATGTGCGGACATCAATGTCCACAAGTAACTCAAATATTTTTATCAATGCCTGGAATCCCAGGATCACGACCGGACTGTGACAGAACCTCGGCCGAATACACACTTGAACAGTCAGCAAGACACATTGCTCTCTTCCCGCCTCTGAAGTACTTCTTGCTGATGTTCTGGCTTTCACGCCAGTGGGTATTACTTGGCGCATTTACTTAGAGGCCAAGCTAACCAGCAGCTTGACAAAACCCACTAGTTGTCATATGACGATGATGGCCACCAGCTGCGTCTGATATGCGCCCAGGTGCACCGCCAAAGTCAAGCAGGTACGTTTGCACAGGAACGGTACAGTGTCTTCGTTGGCCGCTGACTGTACCGATCCCCAGCGGCCCCCTGCTGAAAATGACCCCTGCTGAAAATGACTCGGCAATCAATTAAACAGACGCCGGCTGTTCGAATAATGGGCCACGCATTCCAAAAACTGAAGTTGCTTAAAATTGCAAGGGTGAATGCTGAAAATCAAAGCTAAAGCCCATTCAGACTCATCTGAGTGCAGGGCTGAGTCTTACCTGCTCTACGGCAAGCCTGAATCATCCCACGGTGGCTAGCCACAAACTCTTAGACACAGAGCGTGACACACACACACACTTGCTCAGAAATATCTTATCGAATTACTGATGTGGAATGTATCGTACGTGCAAAAAACACTCCAGTAAACCTGACAGGAGAAATTGGAAGACCCTACGTGGAAAACAGTGCGAAGTATGCTTTCTACGTCCTTGCTCAAAGGAATGTTCTGATGCAGCTTTGTCAGTCGTGAAAAATCAAAGGATAAGCAGATTGTGGCAACCGTGCAGAAACGAAATTGAAAACAAATCGACGTGCCGGTTCTAGGCTTAGCCGGATGCCATTGACGAGGGAATTGAAATGGTGTTGCAGGTACGTCACCAGGCGTCCCTGGTGATATCCTAGGATCATATGAGGAGCTTCGCTGGATGGAGCCTCATATGTCCTCTCCATCCCCCTGCGTGATAAATTGAAATTGGGAAATAAATCATGAAAAGTCAAAATTCAAATAAGCAGTGCAACGGAATCAACGGATAGAAGTTTTACATCTTTTCAGATGGTCCACACACACGCCTCGCTGCCGCGAGGCTACTTCTTGCCGTTTTCGGAATGGTTCGCAAAGCTTTTATTGGTGCCCTGAAGCTGGATGTAGCGATTAACGCAAGATCAAAATACAGGGAAGAAATCTGCTGCTGAATTATTCCTACAGCTCAGAACGCCTCGGTGTTCAGGTTCAATCGCTGATGTCAGAAAGTGCCTCCATTCGAAGGGCTTGATCTGACAAGGTGCGAGTGGATTCTGCCAGATGACTAGCAAGGTGAGCCAGGTCTGCTGCCGAGAAGATCTGGACCGGATGTCTTGTCAGATCATCGTCTGGGTCCTCGAGTCGTTCGAGTATTGCCATGTTGGCATCTCTGTCATTGTTGAGAATGTTCCAGAGAATGGTGGCCAGCTGGTGAATCTGGACAGGTGGCGGAGTAATGTCGACATTGGCGGCGATGGAATCTGTATCATCCATGCCTGATCCTTGTATGGATTCTGGGCTGTCCGGAGCATCATGATGATAATGATGCCAATTTCGGTCATGAGTCTCTTCTGGGATATTGAAATGGCGACGCCAGTAATTGGCAAGTTGGGTCGCTTGATCCGAAGGATCAATAACTTCAATGAAGAAATGGGCATGGAGTTGGCGACGTCTCTGTTCCATTTCGCGTTGAAGTGGGTAATTCTCGGTGGGAACAGGAGTGAATGGATGTTGGTTGTCTGCGGACGAAGGGAGTGGGACAGGTGGAGGTTCCGTAGAGTATCCATAAAGAGATGGCTGTTCATGGTGAAGGGTGTCAGAGGATGATGGCCATGTAGTGGACTCAGTGAGGCCAGTACCACTTGGAGGGTGATGGCTCGAAGCTACCGAAGGGGCAGCACTGCTAGGAACACCATGGGGTCGAAATTGACGGCGCGGCATATTCATTGATGAGGAAGGAGATGTGAAACCGGCAAGGACGGAATCGCGTTTGGTCATGATACAGCTGGAGCCAAAGCTGGAAGTGAAGTGAAGGTGGAAGATAGGCATATGCAACAACAGGACAACGAGGAACGGAAACAAGATAGAGAAAACAAAGAAGAAAGAAAGCAAACAAGGCAGCAAGCGGACATTTTCGAAAACCATGTTACGGAAGCATGTTTCTGTTGGGAAGGGCCTCGTGGCAACTCACTCGCATGATGTACGGCTGGAAGTCTGAGGTGAAGTTACGAATGATTTCCGGAAACAGGCCACATTCCTGTCCTGTGGTCCAGTTTGGACGGTGTTCATGAAGAAGTTCAACCAATCGGTCCTCATTATGGAGGGCGAAAGTATCTCCAGTTTCGTCTTGCCAACGAATGTCCATCGAAGAAGGACGAAGGTAGCAGTCCCAAGTGTACCAAATATGTTGACTGATGGTGTACAGAAGGTTGTACACTGTGAAAGTGTCCAGTCGATGGGTGCTGAGAAGAACATTGTATGTCATCAAAGCTCTTTCTTCTGTTCGACTAAGTGATGGTAACACATCGCAAGTTGCTGCTTCCATGATGTCATCATGGACATTGATCATGTGGGATCTGATACCTTCAAGGTTGACAATCACGAGTACATTTCTGAGGCGAGGAGGAGCAGGAGGTGCAGGCGTCCATGGAGCTTGATGATGATGTCGGTGATGATGAGGTCGCGGGCGCCACATAGAGTTGTCCCGGGAGCGGGATCGTTCAGGGATGAAGCGAGTGTGACCGGATAAGGGAGCCATAATGACTGAGACAAGGAACATCAAACAAGGGAAGGAACGAAGACAGGGAGAGGAAAAACAAGGAGAGGAAAAAGAGAGAGACAACAGAGAGGAGAAGAAAGGAAGGAAG